GCGCGATTTTGGAGAAGTTCTAGCTTAGCCAAACGTTCCTCTCGAAAAGTTGACTTAGGAAGCCGCAAACGGCAGCTTCTCAAAGCCTCACCGGCGCTTATTCTCTTGATCTTTCAAAACCTAGGCCTGCGGCCAAAATTTTCTAAAGGCCGCTGCGCGGCCAGCGCAATGCGCAACCAGTCAGCGACCGACAGTCAGCAGCAGACTGTGACGATTGGCGGCCTCGCGCCCTCAGTCGACCTCCTCTACCAACTCCCCTGCCCAGCCCATATGCCTCATCCACGGTGGCGCAACCACTCGCGCAGGGAGAGAGAGAAAGTCGGCGATCTGCGCCGTGCAGATGAGCTCCGCCTCGTCTGCGTCGAGGACGCCCATCGCAGGGCTGTCATAGCGCCATTGCATATGACGTACTGCATGTTGTTCATTACTTCGCAGGTGCCAAAGTCGAGGATAATCTCACTCAGCGATGGCGAAGGCTGCACTCCCGGCCGGCGGTAGGAGGGATGAAGGTTAATGTACTTCGCAGTGTACAGTGCCTTCCGGCGCGAACAGTGCCCGGGACGAAAGAGGAGGCGACGTCTCCCTCGTCCATGGACGGTGTAGCCAGCTTGAGAGACGGGAACGAACGGCGGTGAATCGCCGACAGCGGCGCCTTCGTTCCTTTCCAGTGAATCGCCGGCGGGTGCCCTGACTGAGCGTTGTATCTGTCGGCCAGTTGCCGCACCGCCGGCAGCAGCTCCGCAGCAGCCGCCCAGATGGCGCCGGTTAGGACAGGAGCGAAGCCGCGTGGACACGGCTGAGCGACGCCGTGCGTCTCGTTTGGATGCTGCAGGCATGCCGGGCAGCGCGCGTGCTCCATCCATACCGCGTCGGGCGCCCGCCGAAATCTTCGATTTCTTCGGCGTAGGGGACCAAAAACCCCTGAAAATTTTCTTCGCCTGCGGCGGGCAATTAATTTCGATACTTTCGCTTTCACAGCTCTTTCACACGACTTTATCCGTCACTCGCTCATTGTACGGCAGTATAGCCAGCCATTCGTTGCGTACCTTGCCCCTGTCCCCTGAAGAACTCGTCGTGCACGTAGGGCGAACTAGTAGTCTCTCTCTCCTGACTCACACGGAACATACACTAGTACCGGGTAGTGATTCACTAGGCTCTAGGCAGGCTCTAGGGCGACTCTAGGGCGATCTGGACGTAGACTCCGCGTGTAAGCAGACCCGCTGGTGTTTGTTCTCGCCGTGCGGGTGGCAGGCGTAGCCGAGCTGCTTCAGGTAGTGGCTCGGGTCGCCATGCTTCTCGAGGCGGACGCCAACCTAACGGGAAGCAGGAGCCCCACAGCGTTCAAAACACAAGCCGCTTTTGGTGAGCTGTTTGTCTCTCGGTGTGCGTGCGTGCGTGCGTGCGTGCGTGCGTGCGTGCGTGCGTGCGTGCGTGCGCGTGCGTGCCAACCTCCTCGTACCCGATGACCGGTCGGTCCCGGCCGATGGTCTGCAGCAGCCCGAGCAGCACCTCGTACTGGAACTGCGCGCCAGCCACGTCGACCTTTATGACGGCGACGCGCTCCTCCGTGGGGATAAGCTCGTCGAGAGGTAACAGGGGTGCCACGGTGTTGGCCTGCCACAGCAGGTAGCCGTCGCCTGGATCGGCGAGCTGCAGCCGCACCACGGACCCATTGCTCATCACCGCAGTGTATCGCGATGGCGCGCTGCG